AAAAAACAATTGCTTTCCCATTCCGTCAACGCGTGTAGATGGCTCTACATCGAGAAGGATGTCTAAGGCGTACGGAAACTTGCATGATGTATGAATGTTGTCCTAACCTGAATGTTGTGAGCTATTGCAGTGTCCTTATTGATACTTGCACGGTATTTGTAAGTAAGTAAGTAAAGTAAAATTAAGCTTTTTCGTAAGCAAAAGTAATTTTAGATTGATAACAAGTAGCTGGTACCGCAGGTAAAATCAAATTGTACTGAAGGAACCACCAGCCAAAATGATAGTACACCGAATCTAGATAGGTGTAACCAGATTATAAGAAAGTGGATCGACCGTAACTTTCTATTATATTATTATATTCTAACGAGACACATTTGATATCGTCGTCAGTAGGTTGAAAAGTATTCGAGGCTTCAGTATTCAGTGCTGTGATGCCACAATAATTTATCGACAATCGAACAGTTAATATGTTATCAGAGGGGTGCACATTGACCCTCTGGGAATCCCTGTAGACGACGTTTCTTATATTTGCGCTGTTCCTTTAGCCAACTGGTCAGCAAACACGGTAGTTGACAGATACGGCAACACCATAGAACGCAGCCAAACATGGAGAGTGTTCGTGGTGAAAAATGGCTTGATCTGCCTTTGTGTTTCGAGCTTCAGGTCAGGTAGCGCTGTTAAACATTTCATCAAACGGCTGGATTCCAGCACAAAATGAAGTATGTCTAGGCTTGGGTCCGCACGTACATCACAACGTGTCTCTAAAATTAGAAGGAAATAGGTTACCCACACAAAATTATCCAGGCGAGGGGGGGGGATTGGCTTGTCCTACGTCCTTCAATGAAGCACACCTTATCCAGAAACTCGAACAGATTATTTTTAGTAGAAATATAGCATGTTGCGTTCGACGACTTGTTGTTCTTTCCGTGCAAAGTTTTGAAACATCATTCAGATCAATTTTCCATCGATGCAGCTTAGATCTGTATGCAGCTTAAGCTTAGAATTGCACGATGTCGTTAGCTTGTAAAGGACAATATAGATTCTTTCATAACGTCTGCCTACTCATCGTCTAAACTGTGTTTATGTATATGATCTATAAACACATGGCATAAAAATAACTGCATTAAAGGCGAAACACGAATGTTGGTAGCAGTAGGGCTCACCCCTGTTGAGTCGACACCAAAGCCATGAAAGTTCAAACAAATAATGTTTTAACGAAACCACGCATCTCATTCCAATATCTTCAACAATCGATCCTGAGTAAATCTCCATAGACTTTTTTTTGGCATGCATAAAAGCCGATTGAACCTGGCAGCTAATTTGAATTTGGGTACAACACGAAAGACCTACTATCCAACCCAGTACGTCCCCTATTGTTAAGTCATAGTGCTTGACGTATAAAACCACGTTGCACGTGCTGCGTGTACCACTTAACTGCACGTAAAACAACACCCACAGTCCAATTTCAAACTAACAAAGGTTGGGTCTATCGACGAGCTTCCATGTTTCGAAATCGCACGCCAAAACAAGACCGCCATTTAGTAAGCTATCCTTGAGGACCCCCAAAGCCAAACGGCCGATACGCTGTATATCATTGGCGGCATAGAGATGACTAGCACATACGATAAAAACTGTGGTGTTTCCTCGTTGCATTAGGGATCAGCGTCGTCGGGGTTGTGTGCTATACCAACTATAAAGGACGTCGTATATAAAGGGCGCGAATTATTACTAACACAGTCCTACTAACATCAAACGTAAACATAATATTTTTATTATTATTGATCGTTCGAACTAAATAGCTCGTCACTTTCATATTTTGATCAATGTATCATTGCAAGCTTTAAAATCAAGCGTTGAAATTTACCATTAAGTCTCGCTTTGGCTTTCGTTTGCGTAAGTGTTTCTCGTCAGAGGCACAGTAACTAAAATCATTGAGTGGTGTGCTATTACTGAATAACAATAGCCTCTAAGAAAAACGTCATTCAATATCTTAGTTCTCTAGGAATGTTTGGAATTATACGCATCATCTAGTTATTCTATTTTGGAAAGTTGAAAATTAAATGAGTATTTACGGTTATTTAGGATACAAATCTTGAACAGACAACTCCCATAGATACGTCATTGACGTTCTTGAAAAAGTCACGGAAGCTGCAAAAATGGGATCAGGTCACGTGTAATTAAGTTAACCGAGACAATACTTTAGTTGCCAGTTATTTATCGATACATATTACAACCGTACATTGCACGATCGATTTTACTAGATGGAGTCAGAAGGTAAACATAGCACAAAATATAAACAATTGATCTTTACAAGGTTTCTCAAAACTGAGACTGATTTTATTCATACTTAAGATATGCTCCCTTGAAATGCAAGTTCTTCAATTGAGCTGTTTTAAATTACCAAAGTTCCACTTTTTAGTTCTATCGTTATTCCACAAATCTAGATCGGTCATGCAATCAAAGGGAAGGCAAAAATCAGATAGCCAAAACACAGTTCCTCCAATGGGTGTCGTAGCTGCATTTTCGTTCGTGATATTTAGCTCATCTCGAAGAGATATTAAATCTGATTCCAGAAAACCATATCGTATTCAGACAAAAAAAAATCATTATACACATTTTGTATGTTTTGGAATTGGCTATGAACAGTATAAACCAAATAGCGGAATGTTTAACATGAAAATCTGTCTGAAAAATCTGAAGAACATTCCTAACTATGCCTATAGTCGTCTGCAGTACAAAGCTCAGAAGCATCGGCTTAAAGACCCAAACGCTACTATCAGGTTCGTTTTCTCTTCGCCGGAGTGAATCTCACTTCAGTTTACAGTTGCTTTTTCTAAATGCTTTCATTATCTTTACGTACAGCTCCCTTTAGACGTTATACTATTTTCTGCGTTAATATAGAACAAAACCAACAGAACAAAGGTTATACCTTGTTAAATGTACGCAATATCTGTACCCATGTACGCACAAACTACTATTTTTTTTTTAATACAGAAGCGACGAGAAAAAGAGCTTGTACAAAAAGCTAAAGTAAGGGCGAACGTTTATGTTGCCGGTTTGCGATGCCGCGCCACTCGTACTCGCTATCACTGGCATTCTAAGTAGTTGCAATCAAAGCTTGCTCATGTATACCGCTTATTATTATAGCCTTCTTTGTTTGTAGCCTGTTTTAAGGCACAAGTTGCCTAAACAAGAGTTGCTAGTTGTCCTGGGAATGGCTGTGTGCAGCGGCATGTACAAGCACTACTACTTCTTCAGTACTTCAATTTTGCATACGATAGCGACTTGAGTCTTAGATTCACAAATGAATAGGACGCGTCCGAACAAAGCCACTTTCCGCGAATATCCACGAACTTATTTGATGTTTGTTGTCAGTAAAGTCGCACCGGGTGGAAAGCAAGATCAGGGTCTCATTGACTGCGATTTCTGATGTTTCGATCCGTGTAGTAATTGTTACGCTCTTAATGCTCACGATGGGTTCTCCTTGTACGATTCTTCCGAAGACAATCCTGCGCCACGTTATGGCAGTGATACTGCATGCAGAATATGGCTCAGACTTCCGCACGATATTCCACAGATTCACTGCGAGCGACAAGAGAGCGTCTTAAATCGGGACTGTCAGGTCTGTTCTTATATTCGTTCGTCCCAAAGATCTTATGCTTCCATAACGCGAAACCTTCTTTATTTTCCTAAATTCATGGAATAAAATACTAGGCTGGCACAGTTTATTTAAATGCAAGACAAGAGTCATTTCATATAGAAATACATTACTGTTTTCACTTAGTCCGAGTTGATATATAGTGCACAAAAATAAGCATCATTCATCATCGAAATATATCTCCCGAGTCTGTATAGCTGTATAAGGATTAGTCGTCTTGTCGAAAAAACAGTTTTCAATAAAAAAAAAAACCTGTGCAACAGCTTTCATATAGACTTGCGATGCAAGAACGGTGAAGAGGAATGTTTCTATATGGGACATGGAGGGCGGAACAGCTAGGGGCAAGAGTGAACAGGTTGTCTGGAAGCTTTTTCAGTTCATGTAGACTATATATAGACTAGAAATGGTTCCTCTATACTCCTGTTGGATTGAGATGTTGTGCAGGCATGTTAGGGCTGCCGAAGCATTAGGGCACCGACTGGTCAAGGTGTAGAACACATAGCACACCGTCGTATGTGTATTAAGTACCAGTAATAGTGGCGGCCAAGGTGCACATAGTGTGCCAATCTTAACGCCAGAGACGCGCAAAAGGCTTACTCCTTCAATCCTGCCGTCAAAAGGCTGCGGGCAATTTCTGTAGCTCAACCATGACACACGAACACCCACGATAGGCTATGAAAAAATTAGTGTTAAAAAACGTTTAGAGACCAGTGATTCCATCTAGTTTTAATAGAGACGACTACGAACACACTCTCGTACTTTCATCTGCCGTCAGATCTCGCCACATACCTCTTGCTCCAGGACCATCCTGTCTGCTAGTGCAGAAACAAGTTCCAGTATAGTTTGTGGTAATAATTCGAATCAAGATAGCTCTCCGTTATAACTAGATTTTTATAACAGAAGACCCAATTTTATTAGCTTGCAGGCCATACAAGGTGAACTCGGCTGTAGCCAAACGCGCCACGTACTTATTCCGGAACATGGCTTATGGCATGCTGCCGAATAATATGAGCTCAGAAATTTTTTTAGAAAAAGAGTATTTTTAACATTAAATGTATCAAAAACCTTTTATACTAGAGTAATCCGTTTAGTTGGAACGTATTTCCTTGATTCTTATATACATGCAGTGTAGCTCATGTTTAAAACTGACCGTCTTGTAAGCAAACATTGTTACTCTCCCCGCTGGTAACGTATTGAAAATTGAGGTTTACTACATCACCAAAAATGCTACCCCCACGAGAATGTGCTTACTATTTATAAAAGTAGTCCGAGTTGAAACACTTCGGTACGCTAATGAAAACACTGAGACGAAGCTCGTTGGTCGTGGAACCTCTTTCCCCGTCGAAGCATATGTCCAATAACGTGCTTTTTTAGTCAAAAATCGATGACATGGGTGCTCTTAAAGTTAACTTACACAATATTTTGTTGACATCTACGAGCCTGCCACTCTAGATTCTGTATTTGCTTTATAATAAAGCAGTACGCCATAATTTAAGATTCAGGATCTTCTATGCTTTTTGGCTGCTTGTTATTTTGATCGCTAGCCATGTTCTTAGTTGCTCATGTCAGATCCGATAATTTAAGTTGAAGGCATTCTAACTATAGATAGATGGACAGTTGGTTAGTACCTGTTTTCTCTGCCTGAAGACAATGTACCGCGAAGATTCTTAACACATATGATCTTGCTTAACTGTTTATAAAAACCAGGGCCAATCGATATCCGATGATGATATATTTGAGGTATCCAACACTGCTTTGACAACATCACTCATAGACAAGACATGAATGATATTGTCAACAATATTAATTAATTTCGTTTTGACAAATAATTGCATTTACCGATAATACCCACGCACAAAAATATATCGACAAAGCTGAAGATCTATCTAACAACAACCTATTCAGAGTCGGTCAGCTCAAAAAGCGAATCATCTGCTTCGTAATTCAGGGTCCTCAATGCGAACTTTTAAATTTCCAATGTAAACGGTCACAAAGAAGGCTCGGTGACTGTGAAAGCTTTTGGCGTTTTTTTCAACTGTGCACTCGGTAGAGTGCTCGACACTTGAAAGTTATCTTAAGATGGTTATAGAGTTGCCAAACGTGCATTGGTTGCAAAGCATGGTTTCAATTAAAAAGTAGTGAATTGTACCATTACCATGATACGCAAAGACGCTATCATACTTACGCACATGTTAAGATCGTAATATTACAAACAAACGAATGAAACGAACCACAAGAAGCGAATATTTAGTAATAATAAACGTTTTTCAGTTATTTTACCAATTATCTTTCCGTTGACGTACTATGCATATAGACATGCATAGATATGCATGTATATAAGTATGTTAAAAATAGAATAATCCCTCGATTAGATCGATGTGGGTACTTGGCAATCAAACGGTTTTTTTTTTCATTTGTATTCATCTGTCGACTGACATGGCGAATGGATCAGTCAGTAACGACACCTGACGTTTAGAAATGTCATCCCGGGTACGTTAAGGAACTATTATTATTATTATCGGATTATGCTAGTGTTGACAAGGCTTCCTGCACTGCAACGAATCGAGAGATCGAGAAATCGTTCCTTCGAACATAAGTGTTAAAGCTAATTCACTTTTTCGAGCTTTTACTTAAAGGTACTAGTACCACGTAAGGGATCCCTGCAGGTCTCTGCAGTAATTGAATGACTGCTATGGCATATCAGCGCGTTTAGTTGCGACTCTCGATTTGGTGAAGTCTATATCGAAAAGAACGAGTAATAAAATGAGAACTCAGTAGTTAGAATTTGAGACGAATCATTGCAAACGTCGCTGTTCCTTTTTGTTTTAGTTTATTGGCAAGTTCGATAAGTTACTGTGATCATTAAACGTAAATCGGTCTTCTGGACCTTTATGCCTTGTACCATCTTTCCCACCACAACGCTTGTATCATTTCCCTTTCGAGTCTATAAATTTTTGGAAGTAAATTGGATCGTCGTTCTGATGCAGAAACAGGTGCACGGATTGGCCTTTTACCAAGTTGTTCTCGCAAATAAGCTGTCTGAAATCACCCATGATGATTGACGTTCGACACCCCGTAAAGCGAGCAGACCCTTCACCTTCCTCCTATGAAATGACGATCCAATTATTATTATATAGCGTAGAAAACGTGCTGTTGGAATAGAACGTGGGGTATATGGATAATAGTTGTTGTATGCAATGCATTGAAACCAACCTGCATCTTAGCTAACATCCTAATGTAACCCGGATGTAACAATTAAACTTCGCATGCAGAAATGTGCGTGTAAAATAACTAATTATAGTAAAAAGCAAGACAGATCATTACCGTAAAGGGTCGCGACGTCTTTGCTCTTGGTAGAAGATGAGATTCATGCGCGAAGTTGAAGCTCCTGGCTTTGAGTTCGTTTATCCCCTTTAGCAGAAAAATGTCAACGTGAGTTTAAAATATCTAGAGGAAGCTCCTGGCTTTGAGTTCATTTATCCCCTTTAGCAGAAAAATGTCAACGTGAGTTTAAAATATCTAGAGAAAAAAGGATGTAATTAGTGGCTGAGTGCTTTCAATTTAGGACTGCTTGGCGATATTGTACCTGCCCTCAATAAAGGTTGGTCGTCCCAATCGTATCAAAAGGCCATATACAGGTTGGCCACTAAAATTAACAGCATCACAACATCTGACTATGAAACGGAAAATATTGATCGAACTCGTTAGTTGCATGTGAAACAGCTGTCCGAAAATAATTACAAACAACTCAGTTAATAAAATAGATGCTTACTTGCGCGATGGAGGTTAGCGTCTGCAGATCCTCTAGCTCTCTCTGTTCAGAGCCTGGGCTTCCCTTGCTGCTTGTCTCTGCGGGCATGTTTCTCTGAAAAAAAAAAACATTTAGCCTTTCAGATTTAATGCCACTGAACCGGTCCTTCCAAGGGCTCAAAACTTGTTACTGAACTGTTAGAAAAATACGACTACGAAATTTTGATCGAAGCGCAAAAACGATCGATTTAGCAGCCTTTTTGTTGTCGAACGTGTTGAGCCTACCTTTGTCGCCTACCTAAAGTCGCTGTTTTTGGGTTCACCAACAATATAATTAGTATTAAATACACTTTTACTTTAGGCTTATTTTGTAAATATCTTGTACAAATCGCGAAATTCTAATTGACCATTTACGCTCACAAAAAAGGAGCAGCATCTAATCTACACCGATGGCTTTATTCGGGAGTACTATAGCGACTAGTATGTTTATAATGCTGACCCCAACTTCTGTTTAAGCGGACCCCATCAATTTATAATTAGTGACACAGATAAATACTGGATGTGTACAATTATCTACCGAGCAAAAACAAAAACAAAAAAGCAGCCAATGGGAGTACGTGAAACCGACAGCTTTCGCATTTTAACGTCAAAAATTAAAGCACTATACAAAATAATTACGTCCTTTTTCAACAGTTTGACAACATTTAGCTCATGTGTGGGCGATCAGACATATTTGACAGCTAAAGCAATTCCATGCTAACGGTATTTCATTAAAAACCATTTTCGGCTTAACATAGATTATTAATCTACGCTTACCGTTGAAGAACGTTTGGTCGACGTGTATGGCTTCTCAGAAGTAGATTTTAAATGATACAGGGCCTTGGGTATTTCCACTTTTTTGTCGTTCTTCGTTATTCACAAATTTAAAGCGTCGAATATAAACAAATCAATGTTATTAAAGACCATTAAATTTAATTAGGAAATACTGAAGTTTGGAATTATCATAACGATTCATCCATTCATTTATGGCTTTAGATTTATATGCGCATAGGAACACACGAAAACGTTTTATTTCCTCTTCAGAATAATTAGATATAAGTTCGTAAGAAACAATACAAACGCAAATCCCAGACGGAATTCCGTCTAGTGAGCCTCCATACACATGCCTAGAAATTATTGTTTTACTCTAGTGTTGTTTAGTCGAACAGGAAGTCTTCGAATCCTCTAACAGAAACCAGGTATTTTACATTTACACCGTAATATGGTTCTATCAAACCAAGCAGTTACACGCTAAAGATATTTTTATAGCTATTTTCGATATTCTGGGAACATTTTGCTTTCTAGTAGAGGATATTCCATCACGGTAGATTTAGTTAGGACCATGTTAAAAACAGCGAACAGTGACTTCTTGCAGATTAATCTTTAAATATCTGCACAAACGAATTACGAGTAGAATTTGGATTCGATGTTTTTTTAGGATACAAATGTACCCTGTCTTAATAAGCACGGGTATAAATTGCATTGCAATTAATTTTTCAATAGTTTCACTTACTCTTTGAACTTACTTCTATGAGTGGTTCAAGTGGTAACTTAATTGAGTGTAGCTGCAACGTCGATGATTTCGGAACCTCCGCATCACCCGAAGTGTAATGGTACCTTCGTGTTGTATTCCCTAGGCTTTCTTTTTTTTGCTCCTGTTTGAAAGACTGGAAAAAAAAAAGACGAATTTATTGCAGAACTTTACCGAGTGACTGGAAGAAAGAGCGACCTCCTACTAGAAGCCAATGGCAAAAGACTGGGAGGACACGCTTTAAGACAAACCAAAAGAGCTGCTCCTTTTGGATAGGAAAATACGCACGTAGTTAATGCCTGTCCAACTAATCAGAACTGTTCTACAGCTCCCAGAGTGTTCATTACTGCAAGCTGTTCCTCCAAACTATTGTACAAGAGACCTGTCTAAGCGAGTCAGCAACCATCCAGATCTTAATATCCTACGCATATCGGCTATCAGGATACCCTTGATCCTTCCTTTACTCATTGTGCAAAGAAATCTACGACGTTAAGGTCTGTCAATTGTTGGAAGCTCTATCATTCCTGGTCGCTATTTTTTTCTCAGCAGTCGGAGGCAGATTATACTTGATGTTCATAATAGATGTATTGGTTTAGAAAGGGTAACCTGTAATGTCAGTTTTTACACTGCAAAGTACTTTAGAGCCACTTGAATCTGATATACAGGGAGGCGCCCACAATGCACAGCTATGACATCTTACCTTTTCGTGGGACTCGTTTTTGATTTGAACTGGCTTGGTAGCCTTTGAGGTGGTATAAGCGCTTTGATTCGTAGGTTTAAGTTTAACCGATGGGATATGCGTATTTAGCTTTGTGGGTTGAGGTTTGACCGATGTGGTATGGGCATTCAACACTGAGAGCACAGGTTCGACCGATCCGGTATGTGCACTTAGCTTTGTGGGTTCAGGTTTGACCGATGAGTTATGGGCACTTTGCTTCGTGGGTTGATGTTTGACCGATGTGGTATTGGTACTTTGCTTCGTGGGTTGATGTTTGACCGGTGTGGTATGGGTACTTTGCTTTGTGGGTTGAGGTTTGACCGATGCGGTATGGGCATTTAGCTTTGTGGGTTGAGATTTGACCGATGTGGTATGAGCACTTTGCTTCGTGGGTTGAGGCTTGACCGATGTGGTATGGCTATTTTGCACTTTTGGCTGAGATTTTACCGGAAACTCCTGAACTCCAGAATCCTTGTATTTGCCCCAAAGGCAGCAAAATATAACAAATAATATTAATTTACAGGCTAGAAATAGATGCAAAAACTTCCATGCAATAAAATTCCATAACGTTATTTTCAACTTGATTTCTGTACTAAGTGAAATAATTGTACTAATAAATCATCTGGTTTTGATCTTAATAAGCCCGTGAGTTTAAACAAGGCAACGCTATAGACAGAGCTTGTTTAAAGGGCACACTTTGGGGTGCTGCGCTTTCAAAACCATAAAGAAACTGTTAAATGGTTTCTGCCCACAACAATTAACGTAAACAAGTCCAAATACATAATTTAACCCGATCTTATACATATGCCTGTATGCAGGAAAAGAATGGAAAAAAATTAACAGCCAATGCATGATCAACCCCTGATGAATGCCAAATCGTTTTCAAATAGTTGAATTCATAACACCGAGTTGCTATCGATATTCAATCGACAGTGGCTTTGGCTACTACAAAAATACAGGCAAAACATGTGAAGCTTGCCAGTTGTCTAAAACTGGTGACCTCCCAAGGGGAACAAAGGAAAAACGGTAACAATCACTATGTGGCACTAAGAAATTACCTAAAACATCAATTTCGGTATGCTCTCTGTAGCAGACTACCTTGACTTGTTTGTTTCCATGTACTTGAATATGGATAGACGATTTCTTAATTAAAGTCTTGACGCGTATCCAACACCCGCTACAAATAAACATTGGTCATTCATATTCGAGCTACCCTGACAATATAGCAGTCCGGCACCTACCTTTGGCAAGAACTCTTTGGTCGATACATTCATTGTTCTTAGAGGTTTCGAATCAGGTTCTAAAGTCCAAGGATCCAAAGTAGCATATTCATCCAATGTCGTTTCTTCGCCATCAGCGTTTCCTTCCTGCTTCATTTTTATGTATTTTTACATTTTACTTTAATGAGCACAGATCACGTGCGAGTAGAATTTCTAACGGGGTACTAATGCATTCACTCAATGATTCATTGCTAGCCTGGACAAGGGCTCCGTATTGGTAAAATTTTGGGTTTATGAATTTACAAAAGATCAGTTCTATGGCACGCACTAAAGTCCGGATCATTAGCGCTTCCAGGGAGTACCTAAAATGTCGTCTGATACACAGCCAATTTGTGGCTGTAGCTTGTGAAAATGTCTACAGGAGAAATTTGTTTTACCAAATTATTTTATGACTTTGAGCAGTTTGATGGTCGTATATTTCTACCCAAAATTATGTATAACTTTCAAATGAAGCACTTTTGATGGTCGTATATTTCTACCCAAAATTATGTATGACTTTCAAATGAAGCACTTTTGATGGTCGTATATTTCTACCCAAAATTATGACTTCATTCATTTCATAAAGTTCAAGAAAAAAGACTATGCCCTACACGCGGTCAGCTATTCCACAATCTACAAATATCAAACAATATCAGCTATCTTAAATAGTTTACGTCTTTTGGTCGAGATTTGAATCCTATCGAGTTTGGCACAGTAGTTCTTAGAGCTGCCAGACTTGGATGTGTCGGATTTCGAAAGCTTGGCGCCATCCTCAACGTAATAATTACTGTCAACTAACCTTCCTTTACTCTCATATGCTGCTGTGGAATGTATAGACAATACAACACGAACATACTAAACGCTCCTGATAATACGAACCTCCATGTAAACCTCTCTGGAACTATGGAACTCTGTGTTTATGACAGGTGCGACGTCTCTTCATCGAACGATTCACACTTAGTGCTATTGATGCTCCGACTGCTCCAAGGTGTGTTTAGGATTTTTAAAAATGTATTGTTTGGAAGACCTTGATAATATATGGTTTTCAGAGCAGTAAACATATCTACTAAGGAACTATGCACAAATTGAAATGCCAAACACAAAATAGTTTACAATAGAGGCTTCCGATAGCTTTGTTAGTGGAGTCATTTGGACAAATGACATGAAGGCCTATACTGAATGACTCGGAAACCACAGAACTATAATTTTTAGAATTAAACTGTCTCAGCTACGCTATTTGTATATATCATCTGACAAACGCATTCATAAAACGAAGGCCAATCTTTAGCACTGAGTAGTATTCACCTGGATATACGGCAGGTCCAATTCTCTAATTTGCGTTCCATTACCGGCTCGCGGCGCTATCGACGTTTTCGCTGTAGATTTTATGTGCCGTGTAACTTTCACCGGATTTTTTAGCTTAAACAAATGAAAATTATTTAAATTAATACGTACGATCCAAAAGATGACTAGCAGAAATACCTAGTCGTCTCTTTAATTTTTCTTGCAGCTTAAATGCTATTAAGAAGAGTAACCAACCTTGTCTTTCACAAGTGGTATAATAATGCTGAGCTTTCCCTCTTCGTTTTGGCATACCATAAACGCATCTTCCTTATGCGGATGTGACAGACATTCCGTGAACTTAGGCGCCGGAACCGTGACAAATTTTCCTTTCAAAATAACAAAGCACCGTTATTAAAAAGATGACAGCGAAGATAAGATCGCCTCAGTTAGAAGCTTCTACTTACGGATACGGTAAAAAAGAATCGAACGCAAAAGGTGGTCGCACTTTTCTTAGAAAACCCTACTTATCATTAAACAAGATGTGTAACATGCCCTTTACGTTATAGCCATTACTTTTTTCAAGATTTATCCAAAATCGTGGGGATTACGTTCGATTTCTCAAGAAATATGAAATCCGTTTTCGCTTACAACTATTAAGAAAAATATTAAAAATTAAGAGAGTAATAGCCGGTCTGTTATATTCCCAGGTCTTTACCTGGGCAAAATCTAGTCTGCATCAATTTATCGTACAGGCCCGAATACTAAGTACAGTAAATTGCTTACTAAATTCCTTTCGAGAAAGATAAACACATCCTGGATCAGTCGGTGCTTAGGGGCGTTTTGCCCTAAATCCAATCTGTAGCATACATTGCTGCAGTGCTACACATAACGAAAATAAGTGTAGCTATTTTATTTGTCATTGACTAATTTAGGATGAGTTCTCTAGGACACGTAACTTAAGTCAACAGTACTATGCCATTGGATTTACCTGGTACCAAAAGACCTAAGATCTAGGCTTCTTGGTTAAATATGATTAGTAAATGATTAGGTTTGATATTGATTTAAGCCTATAGAGCCACGTGGCATGTCGAAAATTTGCTCTATTTTTTTTAAAGGAAAAATGCGTTGTATACTCACTAAATGACTCGTCGTTAATATCATTTTTACCGGGCCTATGACCTGTGAAAATAGGAATCGGTCACTATTAAACATTCTATATGGATTGCGTATGTACTTCATGCATGCACTGGGGTGCGTTTTTCGATACAACCTTCTACACTTATATACTTTTTTTATATTATTATACTATTACAGGTACATGCACAGATAACACTTCGTCGAATGCTAACACTTCATCAAGCACTATAAATTAACTCGGCGTTTTCCTAATTTCCGAGTAATGCTCAGCGAAATCAATGAGTTTCCATAAAAGAACACACTATAGCTTCATAACTAAATATCTCCATTATCGATCTCACTTATCATCAGATGGAAATGTGGTTCAGTATGGAACAGTACTACTCAAAGCACTCATACCTTGTATTATTCTAATAAAGGCGTCTCTACGGCTTAATAGGCATAGTACAACGACGACGGATTTAGCTCATATTCGAAAATTCGACAGATTTTAAACGGAAACTTCGTCTTTTTGAGGGAGTAACATGTAAGCAGCGATCGTTCGGACTGGAAACACAGAATTACTTCCAAACTCTATACATATGCAATACATTCTTCAGGACAACCCTTTCGTTTTTCCATTGCAGGTAATGATTTGGGTTCCCACAATGTGTTCATGGCTGTTGAGGTATGTCGCCATTAGGGTATGACTAAATGGGCAAGGCCGAGTTTATAAGGTCCTTAAAATTACAAATTCTAGATACAGCATTTTGGCTGTGAGTCGGTGCAGCTTGGATTCTAGGTCGTTTTAAATGACCCGAAATAGTATATAATAGTTTTATGTACTAGGACTAATTTCAGCAGATAGGCCTCGAATTGAACAGCACAGTTTAACAGTCAGGACAAACAAACGTCTGTGTCTTTTTGCGCTTCTTTGATGTCGGCATTCGTACCGGCTATAGTGCGCCAGGCTCTTCAGCCTCAAGGAGCTAGGAAGCACCGAAGAGAGTCGAGGAGTACCACCATTTCGAATCCGGCCTGGATAAAAACTCAACACCGTCGTCAGTCCATCAGGAAACCTAGTTCTAAACAGAGTTGTCTGTAAACACTAATATTCGTTCACAACATCTACATATCTTTCAGGACGTAGGGGTTTTCTAACATCAGTTTGTTCAAGACACTACCCAACGCAATCTGAATCACTTCCAGGTGGCGTAACTATGTTTCTAGGAGCCCGTATCATTGGCATGGAATTTTAACTTCCACTAAGTTGTTAACGTTTTGTTTCGTCTTGTGTATATCGGAACCTGTCATTGATTCAAAGTCTACAGCGGTAAACTTCTAGCGAGTCCGTGGTACTTACGAACAATCAGCTTTTCATGATTGGCTTTTGCTTCAAAGCCGAAAACGGCGTAAAACAGGAATACCAGTAGGCCCCAGGTTAGATTAAGCTTCGTCATTTACAAGATCTGTATACTTCGCTTGCAGAATCATGAAACAAACTACTATTTTAGTATTATGAATAGTCAAGCAGGTGATATTAACTATGTAATCTCTAGTAGACGACGACAGATACCCTCGCTTGACAGTAAAGTTAGCAGAATAATGCAGTTACATAAAAGTATTATAGTTCTGTCAACTTCTACTAACTAAGCGATCATTTTCCATGAACTTTTTACATTTTCTATTCGTAACGTTAATTAAAATACGTAACTTGGTCACTGGACATATTTACACTGTCATCAAAAATATAAACGAGGTCACCTGTGATATCATTTAAGGTGTTTGAAAAACTTAAATAACGTTCAAGCTTTGGTGCTATGTGCTCGAAATGGTGATATAAATTTGTCGTCTAACCTGTAAAAACGCAGATTTCTCCGCTATTAAATAGTGTGTAAATACTACCTTTATAAATAAAGGTAGTATTAAGGATATATAAAAGATTCTAATAGTTTTTTTTTTTTTTATTCTTAAGAAGAACTGCGTTGTCGAGTTTCGATTTCCTGTTATTTTCTTTATTGGATGTTTATATATTTTTGTCAGAAGCTCTAAACGTGGAATCTAATCGATATGACTTCATTTGAGCTTACTTAGAAATCAATTTTGACTGTGTGTGAGTTACTCGAGAGTAACTTGAAATTAAAACTAGCTAAAAGTGAAAATCCCTTTCAATTCAGATAACTTTAGCGTAGAGTTGATAGTGACTGTTCTTATTAGGATTTAAGCTGACTTCATAAATATTATCGCAGTGTATGGGTCAGTAACGGAAGAAAACCCCGCGGTTTAGAGAAGGTAGGAATTTAAAGGACCCTTTGTGTGCCTATAGGGTGATATGACGCATAAGCTAGTTTATCAACAAAGAAATTTCACCTTTACCATTATATTCAGATGTACTACAGAGGCAACAATGAAGGTTGCAAAAAGTGGGTTTAAATTTGCACAGTTTATTTACAACAGATGTCCAGTAGAATTTTTCAGAGGCATCATAAATCGCAGGCGAACGTGGAATCCGTAGCGAAAATTTCAGCAATCTAGAACGAATAACATAAATGGTTAAGTATAGTAAAGCTATCCAAGATATATGGCCAAGTTGAGCGCATAGGCCAAATCATTAGTTACGCGGAACAAGTTTTCAAAAAAGATCTAATACTGTGAAAGAACTTATCAAAAACTCCAATGAACTAAACAATCCATCCAAACAAATGACAGCGGCGTTCTATGCAGTGGTAACGCTTATGGTCGCAAACCTAACGCTCACTTTGAAGCATGTGTTTTTTGCGCACAAAGCAGCGCGATGCTGACAGAAAAAGCGCTTTGTAAAAACGTAATAAATTAAACAATATCAAAAAAAAATTTACTTAATAAATAGCGAATCAAACGTTTAAAAAAATGGCGCGCGTTTACACGGACCAATTAAAAACAAAATTAATTGAAAAATGTTATGACATACGGTTTGAATGATTTTAAAATTATTACTTTCATTGCGTTGGATTATGGAGTTAGCGCTGAGTAAGCAGAGAACTGCGTTTATGAGATTCACTGCGCTTCTCCGAACGAGAACCATGCGTAACCCGCATGTTGATACGGTGATGTTCGTACCCGGTTCTGCTCTATCCTGTTCTACT